CACTCCTGGTCACCCCTCCAGGGCAAGAAATTGTTCCTCAGGGGCAACTGAAACCTCCCCTGGGGCAACTTCAGACTGTTTCCTCTTTTCCTCTTGTCCTGTTGTTCCTTGGGAGCAGAGCCCGACCCCCCCCTGGCTCCAGGCTCCTGTCAGGAGGTGTCAGAGCCAGAAGGTCTCCCCTGAGCCTCCTTTGCTCCAGGCTCAGCACCCCCAGCTCCCTCAGCTGCTCCTCCCCACACTTGCCCTCTAGACCCTTCCCCAGCAGCTCTGTTGCCCTTCTCTGCCCACGCTCCAGCCCCTCAAGGTCCCTCTTGGAATGAGGGTTCCAAACCTGCCCCCAGGATTTGAGGTTCAGCCTCCCCAGTGCCCGCTGCAGATGGACAAATCCTGCCCTGCTCCTGCTGCCCACACCAGTGCTGCCCCAAGCCAGGAAACCAGAAAGCTCAGACCCACACCACAGCCTCCTTGCCCCTGGATAGGATGCAGAAAGGCAAAAACCCAAAGATTCTCTGTGACCAGCACCCCAGTGAGAGCAGAAGCCACTGAGCCACCTCCAGAGTGCTGGAGCCTCATCTTTGCAGCTCCCATCAGGTACAAAGCTCTGGGATCTGGCTGCAAATGTGCCTGTGTGATTTGGGGAGAGAAATGGAAGGGAAGGGGAGACAGAGCAGTGAGAGCTGCCACACCAAACATCCCCACACGCCCACCTTCTCTGTGCTGCATGTGAGAGAGGTGCTGAGCAGGCTGTGCCCCACTTCCCTGCTCAGGGAGAACATCCAGGGGGAGGAAGCTGCACTCCCCAACACCCAGCAAGTCAGGGAGGACCTTTAAGGCTACAGGACTGTTACTAACAGGAGTCAAACAGGAATAAACCAGGCAATTTCTGACCAAGAACTCTCAGGCAGACCAAATTCCACAGGATGAGTCTCCTCCCCCAGAGCATCCAGCACTGACCCTGCTGAGTCCTCGTGGAGCAGAGGGGAGGCTGAGAGTCCTCAGCCAGGCAGGGGCAGAACAAAGGGCTCTTGGTGCTCTCATGGAGGAACCCTGGGGGTTACTGCTGCTCTCCAGGGCAAACCATAAGCAATTTGGGAATGGGAAGGAATTCTGAGGCTGTTCCAGGATTAGTGGGAATTAAATCTAGAGCCCTGCTGTGGATCTCCTCGGGTAAACCACCCATGGATCAGCTGCACGCTCAAACCCTCCACTCAGGAGGGAAAAGCCACTTCCTTGACCAAAAAAACCAGAGTTTTGCCTTAAAACAAAGCCCTCCAGGAGCCACAAGCCACCCTGGAGAGGAGAGGATGGCTGTGACAGAGGCAGAGCTGCCCTCCCTCCTCTGCAGGGCTGGGGGAAGCTCAGCGTGCAGCTGAGAGGTTCCACATCACAGGCTGTGAGCTGAGGCTTCCAAAAAAGGAGATTTTTTCCTCCTCTCTGCCTGAGGAGATCCCTCGCCCAGCCCTGCAGATGTGTGGCAGCCACAGATGCCTCCACATGGCTCCAAATTCCTCCACTCCCTCAAGCAGCCAACAGGAACTTGCCCCTCAGCAGAGGAGGGGCAGAAGGGTCGTGTCCCACCCCAGGGAGAGGATCTTCCACCTTCAAGCCTGACCTCTGATGGGCTTCCAGACAAGGTCACCTTCCCAGATTTTCCAAGAAGGAGGTAAATTGAGAGGCAGGAAGGAGCTGGGTCCCCTCTGGAGCCCTGAGGAGCCTTTTCCTGCTGCTGCTTCAGAGCCAGCAAGGGCCCAGGTTTGGTTTTAGAAGTGCAGCAGTGACAGAGCTGCCTTGTTGTATGAGAGGGACCCAAATCTTCTTAGGGAAACCAGCATCAGGCCCAGTAGGTCTGGTTGGGACAAATCCCAAATCATAGAATGGCTGAGGTTGGAAGGGAGCCCAGAGATCATCTCCCCCACCCTCCAGCCATGGGCAGGGACACCTCTCAGCTACACCAGGTTGCTCAAGGCCTCATCCAACCTGGCCCTGAACACCTCCAGGGAGGGGCATCCACAGCTCTCTGGGCCATCAGAGTCACCTCAGGCTGGAGAACTTCTGCCTAAGGTCCAGTCTCAACCTCCTCTCCTCCAGTCTGAACCATTTCCCCTGGTCCTGTCCCTGGGCACTCCTGGGAAAATCCCTCTCCAGCCTTCCTGGAGGGTCCCTGAGGGACTGGGGGCAGTTCTAAGGTCCCCCAGAGTCTTCTCTCCTCCAGGCTGGACAACCCCAGTGCCCTCAGCCTGGCCCCAGATGCTCCAGCCCCTGGCTCATCTCTGTGGCCTCCTCTGGACTCGCTCCAACAGCTCCATGTCCCTTGGAGGGTGGGGCCACCAGAACTGGGGTCTCCCCAGAGCAGAGGCCAGGGGGAGAATCCCCTCTCCTGCCCTGCTGCCCACACTCCTCTCGGTGCCCCCCAGTTGGCCCTTGGGGCTGCACCAGCTCTGCTGGCTCCTCTTGAGCTTCTCACCACCCCACACCCCCAAGTCCTTCTCTTTGGGGCCAGAGTGTAACCAAGGAGAAAACTCCACCCCACGAGGAGGTTCCAGCAGAGCCTGGTGAGCAGAGGACACCCCAGGACCCCAGACCCCATTTTGTAGGGCATGTGATGGTGCTGGAGCCCCTCACTGGGGCCCACAGAAACTTTGGGAACCTTTTCAAGCTGGTAATTCCCAGCAGTGAGGTGGAAGGGACACAGGGAAAGGATTAAACACAGCAGGAAACAGAGGAGAAGTGACAAAAAGTGGAACTGCTCCTCACTCCCTCCTAGGAACCCTGCTCAGAGCTTTGCACAGATTCCCTCTCCTTCCCCACTGCCTATTTCCACCCCTGAGCTGGGACCTGGAGCTTTCCCCTCCCTTGCAACAGCCTCGTGTATCATCCAGCAAGAAAAGAGTTCAAAAGAATCCTTTCAAATTCTTTGCTGTTCAAGCAAACTGCATCCCTTTGATCAAAAAAAAAACCATCCAGAGCCTCTCCCCCTGCCCTGCTGCTGAACTCCTGCAGAGGGCTGGAACACCCCCTCTGGAAGCAGACAGCAAGAAGCAGTGGAGCCCAGTTTGCCCTGGGCTGGGATTTCTCACCCAAAATTCTGTGAAATCCTGAAATTTCAATTCCTCACTCCATTGGCACTAAGGGAAAACCATCCAGTGGAGTTTCTTCTTCCAAATCTGTTGGTTTTTTAAGGAGCCCCCCCTGTTTTTATGGCATTTCATGGAATATTCACCCTTTAGAGGTATTAGGAACAATTTCTCCCCCTGGAGGGTTGTCCAGGCTGGGCAGTGGGGGAGTCTCCATCCCTGGAGGGGTTTCAGAAGAGTTTGGAAGTTCTGCCTTTGTATTTTGAGATTTACTTGAACAGGTTTCACATCTTTTAGCTCAGAGACAAGGCTGGAGCTGCCGTGGAGAAAGGAGGAACATGCAAACTCCACTTCCATCCATCCACCTTCTGCTTTCCTTCAGTTTGAGGTAGGACTTAAACCCTTCTGAGGCCCCCCCCCAAATAAATGACTCACGTGCTCCTTGCAGCAGGATTCTCAGGTTCCTGGGTCCTTTTCCTCACATTTAAAGATAAATCTAAGTGAAAGTAGCTCAGGAAAATATCAGTGGGAACTGAAAATGAGCAGATAAAGGCCAGATGAGGAATTGTTTCTAGTGAGCTCAGCACAGACCCAGCTCAGGGCTGCCTGGATGCAGTTGCTGCTGTTCCACCAGTCCCCTTTCAGATCCACCACAACCTGCATCTCTCAACCTCTCCTTTTTTGGGCTAAATTCCATCCCAGGGAAGAGCTGCTTTCAAGGACAGAGTCTCTGTGCTAGGGGCCTTGCTGTTTCACACCTACTGACACCACCCAATCTAAAATCCACCTTTTATTTCAAAGGGAAAATCTGGAGCAAGGGAGAAATCTTGTTTTCTGGTCCACCAGGGACACCCACAAATTGTCCCTTGGTTGACTGTGAGTCTTGTTCATACCTCAGACATCCCCTGCTGTCAGCCTGGTGTGGAATTTGGATGCATTTGGGTACCAAAGACATTTCTGCTGTCATCAGAGGGATGGAAATACCCCCAGGGCAGAGCTGAGGAGGGAGAGCAGCTCCCCAGGCATCAACTGGCTCTTGGACACACTCCTGCCCCTCCCACCCACTTGACACCACTGACCCTTGGTCCCCAAGTCCACTCCTCTCCTGCAGCAGAATTCCTCCCTTGAATTCATCTTCTGCTTCACTAAAAAGGTGCCAGATGTTGCCAAAAAGCCAACAACACACAACAAACCATGATTGTTGGAACACCACAAGGAAAACACCTTCCCCAGAACACCAGGGCATTGAGGAGACCTGGAGGAAGACTCAGAGAATCCCTGGGATGATCTCAGGTTCTTCTCCTCCAAGGCCACTGCCACGAGGAGTCACAACTACAGGAGCTCAACTTAATTTACAAGAAGGAAACTGCAGTACCCAAGAAAGGAGATTTGTCCAGAAAGCTGCTAGAGGAGGACTTGTCATCTGCTAATGACTCAGTGCCCTCCCTCCCAGGCCATATCCACCTTTCATGACCTCACTGACAAGGGATTTGTTTAGCTCCAGCAAAGTCAGCTAGAAGCAACCAGGCAGAATTCTCTCAATTAGGAGTTATTAGCTATATTCATCAAGATCCTGCTCTCCTCAGGAATAGCAACTGGCTCAGAAAGGAGAGCTTGTGGCTGGGTTATTTTTGGGACTCTACAAATAAATGCCAGATGGCATGGAATGAAGTTAGGGGGCATGAAATCCATCATGTGAACGTCCTGGCAGCTTGGTGCAATGGTTCTATCCTTTACCTGAGCCCTGGAAATGGGAACATCACATCTTGGCCAGCAAGCAAAGACAAACTTATTTCAGCCTGAGTGGCCCCCTCCAGGGAACCTGTGTGAGGATATGAGACCTACACAGCTGGGACTAGAGGGCAAGTGTGGGGAGGAGCAGCTGAGGGAGCTGGGGGTGCTGAGCCTGGAGCAAAGGAGGCTCAGGGGAGACCTTCTGGCTCTGACACCTCCTGACAGGAGCCTGGAGCCAGGGGGGGGTCGGGCTCTGCTCCCAAGGGACAAGCCACAGGACAAGAGGAAAAGAGGAAACAGTCTGAAGTTGCCCCAGGGGAGGTTTCAGTTGCCCCTGAGGAACAATTCCTTGCCCTGGAGGGTTGCCCAGGGCTGTGCCAGGCTGCCCAGGGCAGTGGTGGAGTCCCCACCCCTGGAGGGGTTCCCAAGCCGTGGAGATGTGGGGTGAGGGACACGGCTCAGGGGGGACCTGGGTGGACTCCAGGAGCTCCAAGCTCTCTCCCAACCCAAACAACTCATGATTCCACACTTCTAACCACGACACATCTCTGCTAAGCCTGAGTTTTGTTCCTCTTCAGGCAAACAACCAAGCACGTGGCAGCACCAGGGGCAGCAGATCTATTTCAGTGCCAGCCTCTGCCCTGAAGGCCCCACGTACCTGTCCCGCAGAGTGTTGGGACCCAGGTAGGGGTACTGGCTGTCCTTCAGCTTCCCTTTGATGAGCTGATCTAGAGTCTCCTGGAGGAGAGGCTGGTGTTGGGTATACACGTTCTCCACGCCCTGCGGTGCAAGAGAAGCTCTGGTTACCAACTCCCACAGCAAGGGAGATCTCCCAAGGTGCCCAAAGGGGAGCAGCAGCATCTGATGGATGCAGCAAGATGGTTTCAGCTGTGGCAGATCCATACCTTCAGCCCTTTGAGGAACTGCTTGGTGATGGCTACAGCATCCTTGGGGCTGAACAGGTCGCTGCCCCGCACCCGTTTCCCTCCGTACTCCACGACAGCAGCCACGAGCTGTGGGGAGAGGCAAAACCACAGTCCTGCTGGCCTGAGGAGGACCAAGGAGTCAAGGAGGTGGATCCCAAGCAGATAATGCAGCACAGAGAAGGGAGGGGGAAGAGGAGAGGGGTTCTCCAGCCCCACCAAGCGGGTCAGCCTCTCGTGAGGCCGCCTGCGGGAGCGAGGACTTCACGGCGTGCTGCAGGCAGAGCAGATCTTCCCCAGGAGGTGACATCATCCTGCTTCTCCACCTCCTCTCCAGCTGCTCACCACGTCTGCCAAGCACTTGCCGCCCTCTCCCTCCCTCCCAGCCCAGCCCAGCTCCTCTCAGAGTCTCCCAAGTCCTTTGCTGCAGCTATTGCCTGGGGAGGGAGAGGGGGAGGAGAAGGAAACGTGTTCCAGGCCCATTCCTGTGCCCAGCAGACCCCTGGTGTGCCCACCACCTCCCCTCCATGCAAGAACATCACTGATTTGAGGACTGGAAGTCAAGAGAAGAGTTTTTTCATCTCAAGTCACCCCTGCAGGCCCCAGCCCAGCTCAGGGATCTTCTCCAAGGGCGGAATTTGAGAGAAAACCACCGAGCTGAACTGAACCTGGGAGGTTTTACCCCAGTTGGAAGGAGGAGTGGTGGGGTTACCTTCCTGTACCTCTCGGAGACACCTCTGGTCCTGAGCTCTGCCATCAGCCCTGGCAGGCTGTTGCTGCTGTGCCTCTCATAGTGCAGGGCATAGAGCATCACCAGGCGGGCAGCGTCCAGCTCGGTCACCTTGGGGTTCTGGAGGAGGCGCCTCACATTCTGCAGGGAGAGAGAGAAAGGGGTGAGTGGAGAGGCCTTCAAAGGGCTGGGAGATCAGGGTCATCCTGAGCCCACTGCCCAGCAACAGAACTGCAGGCAAGAGGGTGAAATTGTGTCACCAGCAACAAGCTTCTCACCAGCTCCGGGAGCTGGGGATTTGTGCCGGGGTTCTGGCTCCACTCCTCACTCCCTGTGATGTGCTGGGAGGTGGAATCACAGAACCACAGATGGGTTTGGGTGGGAAGGGACCTTCCAAACTCATCTCCTCCAGCCTCCCTGCAGGGAGCAGGGACAGCCCCAGCTAGAGCAGGGTGCTCAGAGCCCTCAGCCTCCCCTGGAAGGTCTCCAGGACATCAACCATCTCTCTGGGCAAGCTGGGCCAGGGGCTCAACACCCTCAGTGTCCAAATTTCTCCCTTCTCCCTAGTCTAAATCTCCCTCTTTTAGTTTAAACCCATCCCCCCTTGTCCTGGTGCAACAGGCCCTGCTCAAAACTCTGTCCCCAGCCTCCTGGTAGTTCCCAAGTGCCTCCCCTGATGGGGGACATGAGGAGACACTGACAGAAAGCTTCAAGCTGAGCAGAGCCAGGACTGGCCCCTGTAATATTGACTGCCAAGAAAAAAAGATCTGGGATAATTCCATTACACCTATTTTGCTTTGTTTCAAAAGGTGCCAGGCAGAAGCATCAAAGTCTCAGAGGATGTGAGAAATGGAGGAGCAAATATCAAGCTTTTGGAGGCAAAGGAGGGAAGGAATTAAACATCAACAGGATAAAAAAGATCACAGCACAGCAGGTAAATACCAGAACCCACAGTTATTATTTCCAGTAGGCAGATTGTTGCTTTTTCTGCTGAAGAGAACATGGTGCCACTGCTTGCACACCCCAGAGAGGCAGCCTGGGCTACACTGATCTCTTCTTCCCCAAAAATTCCCAGCTTAAACCCCCAAACATTCTGATCTTGAATCCCCAACTCAATTCTAGAATCACATCAGTGTGAGAGGAAGGCCATGGAAGTAACTTCCCTTAAATGATAGATCCTTGCTGGAAAAGTTTCAGAATTCAGTGGTTTTGGGGATCTCTCCAGTTTGGAGACTCCCCAGCCTCTCTGGGCACCCTCACCCCCAAAGAAGTTTCTCCTCCTGCTCAGGTGGCACCTCCTGGGTTCCAGTTGGTGCCCGTTGCCCCTTGGCCTGTCCCTGGGCACCACTGAGCAGAGTCTGGCCCCAGCCTCTTGCCCCCCGGGGGCCCTTTAGCTCTTGCTCAGCACTGCTCAGATCCCCTCTGAGGCTTCTCTGCTCCAGCTCAGCAGCCCCAGGGCTCTCAGCCTGGCCTGGCACAGAGATGCTCCAGCCCCTCAGCATCTCCAGAGCCTCTGCTGGGCTCTCTCAGGTAGCTCCTGGTCTCTCTTGGAAAGCCCAGAACCAGCCACACTCTCCCTGTGCTGCATATTAAAGCCAAACAACTGGGCTGCACTAGCTCCAAGGCACAGGAGCAGAAGAGCTGCCAGCTTTACAGCAGCAGCAAAGGCAGTTCCAGGAGAAGCAGGGAGGATTTTTCCACTCTGGAAGTGAACATGACCTTCAAACACTCCCCAGCTCCCAGCACAACCTTTGCTGGCCCACCCAAAAACGTTCACCCAGCAGCTGGGAAACCAAGTTGTGAAGCTGCCATCATTTTCCTCAGCCACTCAGCAGCATTTGCTGTCACAAAACTACCAGCTCCAACCCTGGCTTGGAGGAGGAGGAGCAGGATTTTGACTGTTCCCCTCGGGAAGGTCAGGAATTCACCTGGGAGAGCAGCACAGAGCCCCAGGGAGGTGGCAGCTGGAGGATTCCTCATGCTGAGGCAGGGCTGATCTGAGTGGGAAACGTGCAGGACAGAACAGCTATTGTCCATCCCTCAGACAGGGATTCCAACCCCCTCCCATCCAGCTCTCAAGGCCCATGTACTATGTCAAGATTAATAAGAGATCAGGGGAAGAACAACCCAAATGTACTGTACAAAGGGGCCCTGGGCCAGCAGGGCCATTACCAGTCGCTGGAGTTGCAGCAGGGGGGAGAACAATTCTGCCTTTATTCCAAGCCCTGGCTCATTCTTCATTGTTTCTGTGGCCTTGGCCCTTCCCTGCTGCTGGGAGATGGTGGCAGGGAACTGCCTGGGGCAGCAAAGCTCCAGAGATGCTGATCTCTGAGCAGAAAGAGCTCAGCTCCACAGTTCTGCCTTCACCTCCCTGCTGCTGCACGTGTTCCAGTCTCTCTCAGCTGGTGGAGATTCAACAGAGCCCCACGGGCAGCACATGAGGAAATTTTGGCAGCTTTCCTGCTTGAAAACCTGCAGAAATATTTGGTTTTTGGGGGAGAGGTGAATTAGAATCATAGAATTAGCACCAAGGTGAACTCCAGTGCAGCACTGGGCTGGGGGGGGGGGGACCTGCCTGCCTTCAGCACTGCCACAACAGCATCACCAGAGTCCACAGCACTCCTTTCTTCAACAAATCACAGATAATAAAGGAGATCAACATCTTCCAGAGCTCCCAGGTTTGACCAGTGCTGCTCTGTGCTGTGTTAATAACACCAGGAACAACAGATCAGAGCCCAGATGCAACGGGCTGATGGATCAGACCTCAAATATTTGACATTTCAACTGCAAAAGCTCCATCTAGAAACAACAAGACAGCCAAAGAACCTCAGAGGCTGTTTGCAGCAACCCCATTTTCTGGCTACATTCCCACTTGGATGCTTAGTTGTTTAATTTCTACCCAATATAAGCTGTTGAATTGCCTCTATACACTCACCCATCTATAGAGCCACCATGGCTTTGACCAGCCTGTGCTGATTCACCTCACCTCAGGATCTGGGAACAGATTATGGCACTTGAAGAGGCTAATATTATCCTCTGGCCACCCACTTGGAGCACAGAATGACACCTCTTTTACATCTGTTGAGGACACTTGGGTTTATTTTCTACTCCAACTCGTGTAAAGGAGTCTGTTCTATGGTGTAGCTTTCACCTTAGCTATGAAAAAAATGAAGGAATTGGGTTTTTTCACACCAAGTCACTGGCTGAGCTCTGCTTCAGTCCTTGTCCCACCCAACAATGCCACGATTTTCCCTGAACACTCAGCAGCCACCATTCATCACTGGGTCAGGTCACAGAGCCCAAGGAGCCAGCGTGGGGTCACAACTTCAGGCTGTAAGGAACTCTCTGTTAGGCTTTTTCAGTCCTCTTTGCCAAAGAAATCTTTTATCTAAGAGGCTTTCCATGGGTTTTATGTGAAAGAAGGGGAAAAAAAAAA